ATTTGTTGAAAGGATGTTCTCCCATTTCATAACAGTAATGGAAAAAACATATAAACCGCCTAATAAAGCTCAAAATCGCATTACCGATTATAAGCAGGCAACGTACCTTTAACATGACGCCACCTACTCTCTATCGTATTTATATGACAGCTGGACTCACTATCTACAAAACTGATACTATGATTCACAAATAAATTTTCAAAACCTTCTTTTGTAGGATCCGAAAAAATTATTGTACCAGGCTCAATCCACTCTTTAATACACTGCATAAGAGTTTCCAACCAACCAGCAAAAAACACACTACACTACAGCAAAATCAAGTTTCAACATCAAAAGAGTTGCCATGCAAACAACATTGCGCGCAAAACCAGCACAGAACACATATCGCCACATTTGGCGACTTGACGGCATTTATAAGAGCAGTATATCTTTTAATTACTTTCACAGATTAAAATCTTTTGAGAAGGAAGAATATTTAAAATAAGCAGTTCTTATATATAAGAAATTAAAATAACAGTAAAGTAATATTAAAAAGTATTAATAGTATATGTAAGACAAAAATTGCAATACAAATTAATCACACTGTAGAGACATTAGGATTTTCTTTGGAAGCAGGCAAGATGAAAAATTAGCAAATGCCTTTGCCAGGAATCGAACCATGAACCACTGGAATACCGTCCCAGCATGCAGAACTACTACACCACGAAGGCACGCTAAGAAAGTGGGAGAAATACCTTATATACTCCCCTTTTTAAAGGGCGACTGGGGTTTTTAAGGAACCCAGTCGCCAAACCCTGGGCGTGGAGAAACCTCATCCAACTCCCTTTTAGTTTGGGCGCTACTGTTGAGACATTAAGATTTTCTTTGGAACAGGCAATACGAAAAATTAGCAAACGCCTTCGCCATGAATCGAACCACGGACCTCTGGAATACCGGCCCAGTGTGCAGAGCCAGATAGATGATTATAATTTTGGTTATATATTTTATATTGAAAAATTATTTTCTATCACGTTAATTATAGGATAAATTTTTTACATAAAATATATTAATGCATGTGTGATAGCTGAATGCAGCAGCAATCAGTCATACTGTAATGAACGAATATATTTTATTTCCCACCAGCGGCCGTGCGGTAACGTCGTTGAACACTGGTGATTCGTTCCGAGGTTCGAATCCCGCGAACGGGCTGGCTGCATGGGTGTTTTCGTGGTTTTCCACCATGTGTAACATGTATACGAGCCAGTTTCCCTTAAAAAGTCCTCCACGAAGGCATCCCTTCCTTAAGGCAGATAGCCCTCGAGTGCTTTGCTGTAATCTAATAAACCAAACCAAACCATATTTTCTTTCTTTTCCTTAAAGAAATAATGAGATATATTTCGCAAGAGAAGAAGAGGAAAAATGTGGTCACGTGTTTAAAAACAACAACATCCGCATGTGCTATGTTTACTATGGAGTTGATAGCAGATATTCCGCTGAAATTAATTGATTTTTCGAATTTAGAAATTTATGGCTATTGCGAGAAATTAAAAAATATGCTTGGAAATTATTTCTCTTTTCTTTATGTCAACAATATAATGTCTTTTGGTATTCAAGGAAAAACACGTGAACAATATTTGTTTCAAAGTAATGCCAAATATCACGGTACTTATAACAAGTCGCGTTAAGGCCGAAATGAAGAAATAAATTAATTATGAAACATCTGTGCAAATTTCTGCAGAAAACTAGGTAAGATTTATAAATTTTTCTTATGCGTAATGCTTACCAGTGTTAATAATGCTTTTATTAAGAATATTAAGTGTATATCAGTTAACTGAAAACTATTCCCAAGACCTTGAACAAAGTTTTCTAAACTTTTAAATGTAAGTGTAATAATAGTATATTCATAGTTCATGAATAGTTGTTCTAAATTACTGAAATAGCTGAATTCGAGAAAGATCCGGTTATCTGCAAGAACATAAATACAAAGCCAATTTTCTCTAAAATTTTTTATTTTCTTTTCTCCTGCCCTCCAAAAAGTTTAATTAATTTACCATCTAATTTTAAACATATTTAGATTCAATAAGATTTTCCATCTCAACTTAATACCTCATTCAAAGATATCTTTGAAGGAGCCAAAACCTTCCCCCAAAAGCCAAAGATATCTTTGAAGGAGCCTTTGAAGGAGCTTTTGATAAACCAAAAGGTGCTTCTGAATGAAGAGAAAGGGGGGTGCAGTGATGAAAATTACTCGAAATTGTTATTTTAATCTTAATGAAACAAGACATTCAGCCCTGTTCTGGAAGAAAATTAAGGATCACTTTATCTAGCCTGCGGATAGAATTTTAATTTTCTGGTTTGAGGCAAATTAAAAGATATATATATATATAGCCATCTTCTCTTCTACTTTGTTTAATATTATTTTTCTTCCTTCTTTTTTCAAAGGACTGATGATCTTTTTTACTTCCTTTATTTTTGTTCTACAAAACATAAATCGACGGAAATAGCAAACACAGATAGTTTTCAATTGGTAAAGTGTTAAAAGTGGAAATTCTTTGTTAGTTATAGGCTGTAGATTGGCACCAACAAGCATTATCCCTTTCTCAAGGAGCAGACATTCACGTACATTGGGAATCCAATGTACGTGAATTATACCTCACATGTGCGATTTTTAAGCTCCAGCCAATGACTTTTTCTTTTGGCACGAGTTCTAATATTATTGATTGTGTATGGAAAAATTGCGGATATATAGCATCATTGTGAAAAGTGGTGAAATTATTAAAATTATAGTGTAGCTTGTGATTGTTTGTGTTATTCATAAAATATTTCAACCCCAAAATGGCTACTAAAAAACGTAAAGTTTATTCAGAATGCCGTGCTTTTAATGATGAATGGACCTGGAAATTTCTTTTATAGTTGTAAAAGATAAACTAGTGTGTCTCATCTGCAGTGAAGCTGTAGCAGTCTTCAAAGAATATAATATTTTCCATCATTTCTCATCTAAGCATAAGAATTCCAATTTTGAAGCAAGACAAAATGCAAAAAGTCATTGTAAAAAATTATCAGGTCAACAAATTTATTTCAAGAAAGTAAACAGTATCCAAGCAGCTACACATGCAAGCTACATTGTAGCGCACAATATTGCTAAAAATCATAAAGCTCTCGGTGATGGGGAGTTCATTAAACAATGCATGCTCCAAGTTTATGATGTTTCATATCTAGACAAGAAATATAAGTTTGAGACTCTAAGCTTATCTCGAAAAACAGTGATTTCTAGAATCAAAGACATCAATAAAAATTTGACATCACAGTTAGAGTCAAAGATTGGCCAGGTTAAATTTTGCTTCATAGCTATGGATGAAAGAACTGATATAAATGATACTTCTTAATTAGTATTATTTATGAGATGTTGATGAGAACTTTGAAATTACGAGGAACTGGCGCGCATGCGTTATTTAAAGGGAACTACAACGGGATGTGATATTTTCCGTTAATTTCAGGAAGAGCTTTTAACTTTGAAAGTGCCTATAACAAATATATGTAATATTACAATCGATGAAGCACCAAATATGACATGGAAAAAATCTGGATTTCTTGGACTTTTTAATCAAAACTATACCGGGAACAATGATGTGTTTCTACATTGTGTTATATATTAAGATGCACTGTATAAATCTGCATTGAATAAGAAACCTGTGCTTTATGCAGTCGTGAAACTTGTAAATACTATTCGGTCTCATGGGATTACTCACAGGCCATTTCGAGATTTTCTTCAGTCCATGCAATCTGAATACTCTGATGTACTGTATTACATAAAAGTAAGGTGGCTTAGCACAGAATGTATTTTTGAGTGAGCCTGGCAGCTGAAAGATGACATCCCGTCGTTCTTCCATGAGAAACAGTGTTCTGCGGTGTGCGAATTGATAGAAGATACAGAATGTCTTTCGGACTTTGCATTTTTCACAGACCTTCTTTGTCTTATGAGCAACTTGAATGTCAAGGAAAAAATCAATTTATCGACGATATCTGGGCCCATCTGAAAGCTTTTAAACTAAAACTTAATCCATTTGCTGGGCAGCTAGCTTAGAACGACTTGTCTCTTTTACCGAGGTTAAATTCAACACCCTCAGTGAATGAAGAGAAGTTTGAGAATTCTGAAGATGGCTTGAAAAAACTGCATTTTGAGTTCGAAATCAGATTTCAAGATTTCAGTGCCTTTTAAACAGAATTGGATATTTTTACCATGCCTTTCAACATAAATTGTGAAGCAGTGAGGTCAGATTTGCAGCTTGAATTAATTGAGTTGCAATCTAACAATCATCTCAAGCAGTTGTTTCTAATAATGCCAAAGTGAGAGTTTTACAAATTTATTATGGAAAGTAAGTTTCCCAAATTTAATATCTCACGCCCAGAAAATCAGTGCTACGTTTGCTTCATCTTATATATGTGAACAAGTATTTTCAACTATGAAACTTAGAAAGAATTATTGCAGAAGCAGACTGACCGATGAGCCTTCAGCCTCATTCCTCAGAATCAGCACATTTCACTTCGAACCTCAATATGAGGAACTTTTAAAAATGAAATCGCAATTTCATTCATCTCATTAACATATTTAAATTGTAATACTTGTTATATTGTTTTTAAAATTTAGGAAAAATCTTGGCCCACGTTTTTTTTTTTTTTTTTTTTTTTTTTTTTTTTTTTTTCGATTTTTGGCTAGCGACTGAAAAAGTTTGCCCATTCCTGTATTATAAAATAAGAAATCTGAAGTCATGTATCTCCAAACAATATCAAAATTTTAATATAGATTTCAGTGTTGACAATAACTGAAGATTCCTGCTCCTTTAATAGAATTTCAATGAACTTCAAGCAGAAATGCCCCAGAAATTTTAGATCAAGAAATTTGATAACAAAAATAAGAAGCATGAAGAAACAATAAGCATTTTGATATCTCTAATCAGCATTAAGTATTATTAATACATTGTTAAATTACAATGACATAAAAATAATAAACACTCTTTTACCATCAAGTCTAAGCTCTTTAAGCTGTGACCATACGCTGCCCCATATAATTTCTGGAAGAATTCTTATTCTGTTATTATGAAAGGAAACTGTTTCAAGTGACATCATCTCACTAAAGAAATCTTCAGGCACATCTGTGATAATATTATCACTAGAAGTAAATTATTTACAATTAAGACAAAATTACATTTATGTACATCATAAATACAAGCATACATACATCTTAAAACCAATGTAAAATTATAAATAAATCGAATTGTAGTCGATTTATTATTCAAGAATTAGATAACAATTCCACCTACATGTCTACTCATAGCAAGAATGTAATTATAAATATTACAAAAGGCACTTTGATTACATTATTTAATTACAGCAAAGAAACAGCATTTAAGTGCTATCTGTTAGGGAGAGAAAATCTTAAAGACTTTCTAAGGAAAGATTAGCTGATATTAACATTACATACATAGATCTCTCTCACATATACACATGTATGTGCCTCTTATGTATGTATATATGTAGGGAGTGGCCAAACTTCATGACTAAGGAGCAGCATATTTAAATTGTAATACTTGTTATAGAGCATAGTAGATTTCATGAATGTTCAGGAACCACAGCTCCATATTTACATTGTTTAAAAAGTAATGAAATTGGATTTTGAGTAGAAAGAAACTTCTGAAGTAAATTAATAAGAACTTTGCATTTTTTAAATTAATATAGTTACATATAATTATACAGAAATAAATAAATTTCATTTTTCCTGCTCTATGTTCAGCTATGTGCCAATAAAATGTAAATTTGAAACTACTGTACAATGTAATTGAAGGTTCTTCTTTTACGTAAAAATTCAAGCACTTTTTTATATATCTCTGTTTGACTTTTTGCAGCTTGTTTGAACAGAAGTAAATTGAAATCAGAAAAATACGATAATAAAAAAGATTTTTATTTGAGTGAAGAATAAATCACTAATTTTAAAAATAAATTTGTTTTCCTTTATTTTTATAAATTTAGTGTCTTCCTCTAAATCACATATATTCATTTAGAAATCATAAAATAAGTGATAATACAGAACAGTACACACTGTGAAAACTTAGTCATTTGAGAAAAAAAAAATTTTAAAATAAGTTATTACCTTTTCTGGCTTTTCCATAAAAATTAATAATTTTGCTTTCCTACAAAGGAAATTAACATGCGGACCAAATTTCTGATATCAACTTTAGACAACTGGATTAATTCATTAGATGCAAATTGGATTATAAGTTATATTCTATTATTCTAAATTTGAGGAAGCCGATTACACAGATATCTTGAATCTTCAAAACAGTTTGGAATTCGAAATGTCGAATCATGAGAGTTTTTTAGGATTCGAGAACTAATTTTCTATTTTTTAATATGCATGAGAATTTGTCATACATTAAGAAATGTAATATTTTCTTGTGTAAAAATTACGTACATATTCCTATATTCTTTTACCATTATTGCAACTTATAAAGAAAATGGCATTCGAATACATGAAGAAAGTTCAATGTTAAGATAGATTATTTTGACAAAAATTCCGCAGAAGTGCAAATGAAGAATTTATACTAAAGTACAAAAAATGATAAAGCTAATTAAAATGATATTCCATAATAATAGATTAAATATGCATCTTATGTGGTTATGTTATTATGGAAGGACATACACATTTTTATATTTACACTGTAGTTTCTTTAAATAAGATAAATAACATCAGTTTTACCAATGATTATTGCATGGTTTAGATCATACTGAGTAAATGACATACCTGAAATCCAAAGTTTTTAAACTATTGGCCGGTTTTGGCAACAAGGATCGGCTGATATTTTGCAGCTTGTTTGAACTCAAATCTAATTCTTCTAGATTAATTAAGTTCTGGAAAACTTTATTTTCAAATTGTTCTATGCCACTTTTATAAATTCTTAGATGAGTAACAGAATTCAGACTCTTCGGAAACCAAACAGATCTCAGCAAAGGAATTGAACTATAATACAGAACTAAAGTGTGTAGTCTTGGCACGGATTTCAAATCCAATGTGAAATCTCCTTTTGTGTCATTGATGCTTCTATAAACATGTATTTCCTGTTAAAATAATACTTCTTAGCTACATGATATTCTTAGCAACATAATACATTTAAGGTTACATTGCAGAAATCATATTATGAATTTTTTTATATTTCTTATAATAGCACTATTTTGATTAAAAAATTTTATGTATAGAAACTCTTCTAATTAAAAGTATTATGTATCTTCATATACTTTATTGCAGTACGTATACTCTTATAAAATGTACTATATACACTGGTTTCCAAAAATTAAGAAAAAATCACAAAAAAAGTGATAACTCATTCAAAAATAAGCCAATCTGTATAAAATTTGAATATGTTGTTAAATAAGAGTTGTTGAATAAATATGATATATGCAAATTAGTAGCTCTGCAATTGGAATACGTTATCTGTGAGCAGCATAAAATTGCATGTTTGAGAGAAAGCCTGTAAATTTCGCTGTTTGATACTCATAAGAAATTTGAGGTAGCCAATTCGTAACAGTGACCTCCAGGCATCATTTGCCCTGCGATGGAGAGCTATTTATTGGTAGAGTAAAGGCAGGACAAAGTCAGACAGAAGTGGACAGATGGCTAAAGGCGTGTCCTTCTGTGGTTCATAGACTTGTGGCAATAATTTTTAACCACACATTCGGCATCCAGGAGGTTCAGCAAAAGATGGCCAACTGCTACAACGAGCACTGATGACTAATATTTGTTATGTGCAAGAAGGAATGGGAACTCAACTCCAATCTTCCCTTGCTGCAAACACTGGAAGGTTAGTGTCAATGTCAACCATGCGTAGAAAGCTTCACGATGGAAGTTTTTACACAAGGTGACTAATCATTTGCATGCCACTAATGTCGGGTCATGGAAGGAAACATTTAAGGTGGGCATATAAACATGTAGATGGACAGCTGATCAATGGAGGACTGTTCTCTTTTTGGATGAGCCCAGGTATAGCCTCCAAAGCAATAGTAGGCATTATTTGATTTGGAAAGAACCATTATCCTCCATCAAGCATCTGTGAAAGAGATGCATACAGAGAAGGCAGTGTCAGTGTTTGGGGTGATATCTTTTTGGGTGGACAGAGAGACCTCAATGTATTTCCACGTGGAACCATGATTGCTCTATGACATCCTTGATGATGCTTACTGGAGTCGTTATGCAGGGGCAATAGGTGATAATTTCCTGCTACAGGATGATAATGCTAGACCACACAGTGTTTGCATCATAGATGATTATCTTCAGCAGCAAACAATTCAGCACATGGAGTAGCCAGCTTGATCACTGCCACCTGAATCCTATTGAGTACGTTTGTGATGCTTTAGGAAGACATACAGCTGCTCTAAGTCCCCCTCTTCATACCCTTGCAACTACTGTGCAAAAGCAATGGCTCTCATTTCCTATGAAACTGATACTCTGCATCATAATTGACAGCACCGCACATAGTTGTATAGTCTAGGGCATATCATACTTCATATTGAAGGTTATTTTCCTATACCAAACTGACACATCCAAATTGTTCATTTTATACATATGCTAATTTCTGCAATAACATAATTGTCTGGTAATTTCTTTTCATGTTATTTCATACTTTACTGTGTATTCTATACTGTCAGTCAGTGTCATTAAATTCTACATGTAACTTTTGGAGTAATTGTCCTTTTAGTGATTTTTTCTTAATTAATGATAATCAGTGTATTTTATTTCAAAGCATCATGCTTAGATAATAAAATATTAAGAATTTTTCCAAGCAGTTCTATGCTCCTTCATTGAAAGGTGTACTGCTTAGTTGCATATCAATGCAATATGATTTAACATTATGAAAAAACATGCAAGGACTAAGAACTGAACATCTAATCTCTAAATGTAATTATATAACTTATAGCTCTGTTAATTAACCGATTTCTAGATAATATGCTTGAGAACACATTTATATATATTAAAAGGTATTTTCTCCCTCCTTACAGCATGTCTTCATAATGTAACTAGTAGTACACTCGACGCGTATTCGAGAAATCCGGGTTTGAGTCCCGGTGAGTGCATTGCATATTTTTCATGTCTCGTGTTTCAAAAGAATCTAATGACTCTACAGTTGTGCCTGAGCCAAAACGTTGTGAATATTAATTCGTCACCAGGATTTGATAACTAGGTCCCTTAACCCTAGTCGCCCTTTCAAAGGGAGTATACAAGGTATTTTCTTTATCTTGCCGTATGCTTTCATGGTGTAACAGTAGCACACTCAGTTCATATTCAAAAGGTCCAGGTTCAAGTCCTTACAAAGGCACTGGACATTTTGCATGTCTCTTACTTCAAAAACCGTAATGTTTCTACAATGTTAATTCTTACTTCAGAGAAAAACATTATTAAATTCTCAAAATAGACAAATATTTTTAATGAATTAATTGATAGTATTAATTTATCCCTTGTGTTAAATTAATCTTTTCTTTGCTCTACTTTAATTCTGATATCAATAAAGGAAAATTAAAAGCATGTTTTTGATTCTACAAAGATGAGATTATTTCTTACTGAAACAATACTTATGATAACTTATAATTAATCACATAAGTTCATTTGTAATGTTAAAAAATTTTAACACAATGCATGAAGATACATATATACAGCGTGATTCACTACCAGACTGACAAACTTGCAGAGTGTGTAGGGGGTACAGAGACAACTCGCAATCACACAGGAATGCAGGGTCGCAAATGCCGTAGTTGTGAGCTATGATGCAAAGAAGCAGAGAAAAAGAACAGAAATAGTAAAGACATTAATGGGACAGAAGACATTTCATTGAAAGGTTGTACTACAACAGGTGTTCGAAATTACAACCAGAATTTGCCAGGCAGGCCTGACAGCGGCGTTGCATGGAATTCCTTACGTTCTGGAAGATTCCTGGCATTTCATATATCCTCCCGGCAGCTATAGATATTCGAATGACGAGGTCTTCAACTTAAGGAATGGATGTCTCGTACACTAAACTCTTCATGTTACACAAGAAGACGTCCATGCACGATAGCTCCAGTGATCAGGCAGGCCAATGAACCAGGCCACCACGTCCTATCCACTGTAGTTCAAAGGTTACATCGAGATCTCGGCAGATGTCAATTGTGTAATGTGGAGAAGCCCGTAAAAAACACGGACACAACAAATGCGCTGTATGTTGCAGGAATCATGTAACAAACATCCTCAGGAGTGGATAATCCTCAAGCTCTAATAATTGGACGTGATGAAGATAGTATGCCCTCATTTGGTTTGCTGCATGTATCCTCAGGACAATGGATTGAGATAAACCCACTTGTTGGGCTATATCTCGAATGCTCATACTGGGACTGTCTTCTGCCAGACGTAAGACTGCCTCCTCACTGCCAGGCATACTAGTCGTTTGCTGTTGATTCATTGTAGTTCTCGTTAAACAACTAGTCTCATGTAACCTTCTGTACACACTTGTAGAGGTTGTGTGATGTGGAACACGCCTGTTCGGGTAACATTCCTGGTACAACTGCCGAGAGGTGTCCCCGTAACCATCCACAGCTCCACACTTGATCAGTATGTTGACTAGTTAATCATTTGAATACACGTTCATTCTACTACCTCGGGAAACGGATCGCAAATGACGACATCCAACAGTATTGCTGCTCACGCAACCTTCCGTTCAGCGCCATCTACCACAAGACTGCTGGGAGGTATCTTCCAGAACATAAGGAATTCCATGCAACGCTGTTAGTCTTGTTTGACGACTTCTGGTCGTAATTTCAAACACCTGTTGTATTACAACCTTTCAATAAAGTGTTTTCTGTCCCATTAATTTGTTATTGTTTATGGCTTTCTCTCTGCTTCTTTGCACTATAGCTCACAAGTACAACATTTGTGACCCTGCAAACTTATGTGATTCCGAGTCTTCTCTGTACCAATCACCCTGCAAATTTGTTGGTCTGGTAGTGAATCACCCTGTATATTCCTCCAAATACACTACCGACAATGAAAATGCAACACTAAGAAGGATTGGCCAGAAAGTGATGAAACTTAGCAAACAGAGATAGACAGCAAAGAAAAGAAGTGATCTTTATTTAAAAAAGATATGCATAATATAGAGTAGGTATAACGTTGGCTCAGTGGGCTGTAGGACCACCTTGGTCGTCGATACCTGAAGCAATATGTCTAGTTAGAGTCAATGAGACTATGGATGGCGTGCTGAGAAATGGCTCTCCATTCCCTGTCAGACATATGCCACAATTTGTCTTTTGAACACGGCAATGGCATTCAATCACATTCCAAAGTTGTTCGATTGGTGAGAGATCAGGAGACAGTGGTGGCCACAGAAGCATATGTGCAGCTTTCAGACCATGTTGGCTTATGCAAGCAGTGTGTGGTCGGGCGTTATCATTAAAGGACACTGGCCTCTCCCTAAAAGTAAGACAGCGTCACCGGCTGCAGCACATCATCCACGTATTGTTGGACTGTCATAGTACCCTGAATACGAACTAGGGGTGTCCTGGAATCATACGTAATTGCGCCCCAAACCAAGATGCCGCATTTCACGCAGTGGGGCGTTCCACAATTGCTGCCGGATCTGACCTATCTCCACATGAGCGCCACACTCGCACGTGGCGAATATCATTGGAGAAACAGAAATGTGACTCACTCCGTTGCCATTCTGTCATCCACATTGCTCGAGCCCATCACCATTGCAGACGTTAGCGTCTATGATATAGGGTCAATGGCAGTCTTCTTAACAGATGCCATGAGTGCACACTACTAGGTGGCAAATGGTTATGTCAATATGGGAACATCCAGGATGTCTTGAACATGCTACAAAATGGAGGTAGAAGTGGCTTGCGGGTGCGACACCAGTTATTAGCAGATGCGCTGATCCACGCGTGCTGATGTCAGTCTGGCTACACCTTCACCGCTCGAACTTTTCACATTTCCTTGTTGCAATCATTGTTGTCATAGCTGGTGAACTGTGGACGCATCTAGGTGTGTGTCAGCTGAGATTTACCCTATGGTCCAACCTGCACTTCTTAGTCCA